ATATATATATATATATATATATATATATATATATATATATATATATATATATATATGTGTGTGTGTATATACAGTGTTTTTAACTCTTCCCACACTCTTGCAATATTCTAAACAATGTTTCTAAACTCTAAATGCTCTAAAAGAGCACGGAATGTCATATTTCTGCTCTCTGCCTCCGCTGCACTCAGCCACCTGCAAGCGCTCTTGGCCACGCCCACTTCTCCATGCTTCACGGAGAACAGCTGATCAGCTGCAGCAGGAAGTTTATCCTGCAGTGTGGGCTGCACAAAGGTGCAGCAGGTGCTACATATTTTAAAACAATTTATTTTAAATAAAAATTCCATGCTGATCGTGCCATCCATCAATCAGCCACTTATGTGTCATCTCCAATCTTATTTTGAAAAACTGCAATAGAGCGAGTCTGCAATAAACGAACCGCGAAGTAGCAAGAGACTACAGTATACCCATACATTGTCTTTGGACCTGCATTGTTCCTGTTCTGGGTCATGTGGTTACCAATTTCAGACACCCAACATCCAGGACAGGTTTCCAGTCACATAAAGACAAACAAGACAGACAATCTACGGACAATTTAGAGTTGACCATTAATCAAATATATGGCATTTAACTAGGAGGAAACTGAAGAACTCTGAGAGAACCCATACTTGCACAGGGAGAACTCCATGCAGAAAAAAAAAACCAACAGTGAAGACCCAAACCCAGACCTTTAACAACAGTGCACGGTGGTGCAGTTGGTAGCGCTGTCACCTCTTAGTGTGAAGGTTGCCGGATCGAATGCTAGCAAGGGGCCTTTCTGGGTGCATGTTCTCTCTGTGCATGTGTAGGTTTTCTCCGGGTACTCCAGTTTCCTCCCGCAGACCAAAAACATGCATGTTAGACTGATTGGTAATTCTAAATTGTTCCTAGGTGTGAGTGAGAGAGTGAATGCTCTCGCACAGTGATGGCTGGGCATGGGCACCAGTGACCCCGTCAACCTGAAAAGAAGTACCGTAAAGATGATGGATGGATGACAACAGTGCTAACCAACCGCTCCATGGTTCTGCCCTTCAGTCCGCTCTAATGTTGGGTCGGTGTTTCACATTCTAATAACATATATGGACAATTAATACAAGGTAAAGTTGAACAGTATTTGAAAGTATTTTTAAAGAGCAGTGTTCTGAAAGCTCCAGAGGTCTACTTGCCAACTCACTGATGGAGGTCCGGAGGCAACAGAAATGCGTCTGTGCGCGTCTCTTCAGAACCTGCAGTAAGCGGGGCAGCAGTTTGTCAGTGAGACATTAACATAAAACAAATAAACTGGCAGCGATCCTCGCTGTCCAGATCTGACACAGCTGAAGATTGAGGAAAGATTTTTTAATTTTTTTTATGACAGCTTTTTCCTCTCAGGGATCCTGTAGTGGAGACTTCCCTCTGTTGGCACTAACTGCTCTTCTACAGTCGGAGAGAAGCAGCTCCAGAGCTAAAATCTGACACAATGCTATTGATGTCTGCTGGGCTAACAAATTATTTCTCTGACTACAGACATTTACCATCTGGTGGGGGGTGGGGGTGGGGGGTGCGCCTTCAGCTCCAAATGATCCTTCAGTTAGTAGCTCAGCTCCACATTACAGAAGACAAAGACAGCCTCAGTCATCTCACCTTCCATCAAACGCAGGTTTCAGTTCTAACGAGGCAACAACGATCAGGGCAACACAAACATGAATTCAGTTACAGAGTTACATACTTGTCTAGTTTTTTTGTTTGTTTGTTTTTTTTTTTTTACCAAAGCTGAACAAACAGAAATCCACATTTTTTTGTTGTTGTGGAAGAGGTTTCGGTTGGAGTTATTTGTCCGGCTCAGTACTTCATGAGTTCATCTCTTGTCTCCATGATGATAATGAGAGCAGTTCACGCTCAGCTTCATCCTCTGTCTCTGCTAGAGCACCGGTATAACGGATCACTCCTCCTTAGCCCTAACCAAACCCAAGCTTATGATTTATGGCTGGATACAATATTTATTCAACATACTCTGTTAGACAACAAGAAGACATGAATGACAGAATCTGCTCGACTCGTTAAGTCTTGGATGTCCCACCACCACCAGGTTTTTTTTAACCTCCTGACACCCAGTGTCCTCATATGGGGACATTGCTGAAAATTAGTTTGAAGCATAATTGAGACCTTGTGATCCCAAATTGCAAGGAAAAATATAAAATGCAAAAATAAGCCTACTGTCCTCATATCATCATCATCATCATCATTTTTCTAAATCTACTTCCTGTACCATGACAGAGTCTACTTTTATTTAACTTATTAGGTCCTACTAATCCCCAGTACATTGGAGGGGGAAATAAATGCACACCAAACAAAAGCTTGGGTCTAAGGAGATAAATAATTATTCTTATCATATTTAAGCTGAACGTGTCTCTCCCCAGCTGTCTGACAGTGCTGTGTCTGAGCTGATGAGAAGAAATAATCAGTTTAAATGTCAGCACCAAAAACGTGCTGATATTCCAGTGGGTGGGTCCATTAACAGATGAGGAGGCCATCCTGATTCTGATATTGCTTCAGTCTGGAGACACAACGCCTGCAGATAATATAACTCTACCTAGAGAGGCCACCTCACCCCCAATTTTTTGTTTTCTGCAACTCTCTTGAGAAACACCTTTTTTAATGTCAGTGGCAATTTTATAATAAAATGCATATTTGGGTTTGCCTATAATCCAGTGGTGACTGGTGGAGTTTTCTCCAGGGGGGGCTATAACACACACACATACACACAAATATATATATAGAGATATATACTCACCCCCATGTGGGGGGGTAGTATATATATACTGTATACATAAGACACATGGCTTATTTTTCATTATCCAGCTCAATACAAATGCAGGTGTTCAGAAATAGTATAACAACACCATCAGTGACATTTAGTATATAAAAGTATTAATGTTTTTTTTTCTATAAGCACATTCAAATAACTGTAGCAATAGCACTGGTTTATCACAGAGCCCAATACAATAACCTGGAGGCTAGTGCTAGCGTGCTAGCTCCAGAAACAAACAAATGAAAAAAACTCACCAGTTCCCACTTTTAGAATACACAGTCAGCTGAAGGTTTTTTCACAAACAGAGATATCTAATAAATAGCTAATTTGTTCAATTAGCTTTGTAGAGATCTAGTAGAGTGCTGTATGAATGGGTAAATGAGGACACAGATTGTAGTGTAAAGCGCTTTGAGTATCTTGAAATAAGATAGAAAGGCGCTATATAAGTGCAGTCCATTTACCATTTAAAAGTTGAGAGGAATATTAGTCAGAAATGGCAACATAGGCATAAAATAAAGGGCTTTTAATGGCTTAAAGCTTACCTGCAACATAGCCTGGTTGTGAGTGTCACTGCATGATCTCTTCCAGGACAACAACAAAAAAAATCTGTTCTGGGACGGGAAGCACGATCCGTACTGTGCACTCGTATTGTGGACGCAAGAGTGATGTGCCCAGAATCTTCCTACCTCTTTTATTGGAAGGGAAGCTACTGCACATGTACAACTTTAACGAGAGTTTATGGTCAAAGAGTCTTGCGCCCCCAAGGTGGAAATAAGTCATTGAGACAACATTTTTGAAAGAAAAAACTTTACTCATCATTAACTATAAAATATTTATCTTACACAACTAAAAAAATTCATACATATATTTTTAAATATTTTTATTTTATCATTTCATATTTATTTAATATTTTATGTCTTCAAGGTAATATGGTGAGTGGTGGGGCAGCACCCTGGCACCCTCTATTAGCCAGCCGCCACTGCTATAATCTGATCTGACGCCACCCTGTTACTGCAAGTCCTGCGTTTTCTGATCTCCATCCATCCATTATCTTTTACCCGCTTCTTCCTTTTTAGGGTCGCTGGTGCCCATGTCCAGCAATCACTGTGCAAGAGGCGGGGTACACCCTGGACAGGTCGCAAGTCCATCACAGGGACACACAGAGACAAACGAGACAAACAACCATTCACTCTCTCACTCACACCTAGGGACAATTTAGAGTTACCAATCAGTCTAACATGCATGTTTTTGTTCTGTAGGAGGAAACCGGAGTACCCGGAGAAAACC